GCTCAAGAGAGCGTTGTCCGCTGGCTGGTGGACGGACATCTGGTGAACAATCTGGAGTCACTACATCGTGAATGTCTCGGTGAACAGTCACTGCTAAATATTCAGTACAAGGTATTCACTTTTCACTGCCTACCGTCCACTTTCCCCCTTGACGCGCCTGGGGGGTCCTCCTCCGAGACGGTCCCCAGAGCAAACCCTTAGTCAAGGTCACTCTCCAGACGCCTGCAGGAGTCTGTGTCCCACACCTGCCCCGGCTGGTGTGTGCCGTCGTCAGGTGTGGGCTCCCCCAGTGGCAGGTGTGTGTGTGTGTGTGTGTGTGTGTGGTGTTCACAGGTGACCTCGCTGACACCACCGCCTGCACCTGGGGTAGGGTACTGCTCCCTCTTCCCTCCTCTACCATCATACTCCAAGCATCACTAGCAGTAACAGTCCTCCAACTCGGCCACCAGCACTCACTCCATGGCACGAGGGGGGGGGGGGTTGAGGAGAGTGAGAGAGAGGGAGAGGAGGGGAGAGAAAATGTGTGTGCGAGTGTGTGTGAGAAAGTGTGAATGAGAATGTGATTATCATTTACTGAAATTATTTAACTCATACATTAAGAGACAAGTTGGCTTAAATGGCAGTTATTTAGATTCAGCAAAAATTGGGTTGAACAGTTTTGTTGCCCCTTACAGCTCGGTCACAGCTGCGGCTCTGCTATTGTCGAGACGTGAGTGGCAGTGTGCACTCACCACAGGCAGGATGTCCTCATCCTTCACCTGTCTTGCCTTAAGTAATAATACAACATTCACAATTTAGTTTATAGTGTGACTCGAGATAATCTTAGTGCTCCTATTGGCCAAGTGCATCACGTGTTAACGTTTAGTTAATATATTATGATATGTTTTGGAGTGTTGTCTTCCCCTTTTCACACTTTTTCCAGGGAGCCGGTCGGCCGAGCGGACAGCACGCTGGACTTGTGATCCTGTGGTCCTGGGTTCGATCCCAGGCGCCGGCGAGAAACAATGGGCAGAGTTTCTTTCACCCTATGCCCCTGTTATCTAGCAGTAAAATAGGTACCTGGGTGTTAGTCAGCTGTCACGGGCTGCTTCCTGGGGGTGGAGGCCTGGTCGAGGACCGGGCCGCGGGGACACTAAGCCCCAAAATCATCTCAAGATAACCTCAAGATACCCCAGTAAGGCGCCAAGGTAGAGAGGTTACACATGTTTTCAAGGTGTAAAATATCTAACTCGTTACTGGTAATCTTACCGTTATTACCTTCTATCTGTTTCTGGACGACCTGGTTCACTCATTATTAATTTATTCACTCACAGGCCGGCTTGTGGGCCAAGCTGGACCGTGATAGTTAAGGCTCCATAATAATTAACTGAGGATAACAGCCACTTGCAAGGTGTGGGGGGGGGGGGGGTAGGGGGCCTGCATAGGTGGTGTAGGGGAGGGGTCCTCACCCAGGTTGGTGGTGTGGGGAGTGATCTCCCTGGGCAGGGAGGGGTGAGGGGGGGGGAAGGTTTTCAGTGACTGAGGCGTGGAAGACGAATACCAAGGGAAGAGGAACAGTCTTGGTGCTCACGGACTCAACGTTCTATTAATTATTGTACTATTTTCCTCCTGTATCTGTGTTTATTAATATATGTTCACTTTAATATATTATTGTGATTATCGCGCGGGTGGCCGGAGCCGCGAGTGACAAGGAGAGTGCAGGCCTCGAGTGACCACCAGAGTGTCACGTGACACTCATGGAGGTCTCCATGGTAACTCCTGCTGGGGTGGCGAAGATGGTGGCGGGGGCCGAGTGGGGAGAGGGGGCGATAGTGGCGCAGGTAATGTGGGTGTCCATCACCGCAGGGGGCGGCGAGCCACATCTCCCGGACACACAACAGCCGGTCATCAGGCGCAGAAAGGATGAAAATGGTCTCAGAAAGCGGCGGGGAGGACCCGAGGAACACGACAGGACAATTTAGGTCTTGGGGCTGGACGGAGAGTGGCGGCCAGGGAGGGAGAGAGGGAGAGTGGCGGCCAGGGAGGGAGGGAGGGAGGAGGGAGAGTGGCGGCCAGGGAGGGAGGGAGAGTGGCGGCCAGGGAGGGAGGAGGGAGAGTGGCGGCCAGGGAGGGAGGGAGGGAGGAGGGGAGAGTGGCGGCCAGGGAGGGAGGAGGGAGAGTGGCGGCCAGGGAGGAGGAGGGAGAGTGGCGGCCAGGGAGGGAGGAGGGAGAGTGGCGGCCAGGGAGGGAGAGTGGCGGCCAGGGAGGGAGAGTGGCGGCCAGGGAGGGAGAGTGGCGGCCAGGGAGGGAGAGTGGCGGCCAGGGAGGGAGAGTGGCGGCCAGGGAGGGAGAGTGGCGGCCAGGGAGGGAGAGTGGCGGCCAGGGAAGGAGAGTGGCGGCCAGGGAGGGAGGGAGAGTGGCGGCCAGGGAGGGAGAGTGGCGGCCAGGGAGGGAGAGTGGCGGCCAGGGAGGGAGAGTGGCGGCCAGGGAGGGAGAGTGGCGGCCAGGGAGGGAGGGTGGC